ACATCTTTAATATTGATCCAAGACGAGGTTTTTAAAAAGATGCATCGAGGCAGATTATGTTCCGCCTCCTGGATTGGTGCTGATCTCACTTTATCGCAGGAGAAAACGTCTCTGCAACGCTGCTGTCCGGGAACTTCTGTAGTAAACAGTAAGAGTTAGCAGTATTTACATCTTTACTATTAAAGCACATTTCCCAGACCAAGGGACACAAACAGAACCGAGGCAACCAACAATTGGGCTCTCACGGAGTGATTCAAAATGGCAGCAGAGGCTGGAAAATGTGAAAAAACGCATCTGTGCATAAGTCAGCTGCACGAGCTCCATTTATTTAAACGGGAGACTTCAAAAGTCCACAGCGACTAAACTAGACTGGTCCAAAACACTCCCCTCAGCACTGACACACATGTGGAACGCATGTGTGTCATGTGGCCCATGTGGCTTTGGGCCAAGAGCCAACTTTTGGCCCATCCTGTAAAGACGTTTTTGAGAGGTAAGAAGATGCTACTGTATATGTTAGCATTGGCTAATTCTTATTCCGGGTCCACCCCCACAGGCCCAGAGTGGTATTGCAGCATATCAACGCACGTCATTTTGGACACTTTTGAGCCAGGACCCGCCCTCACTGGTGTGAACATGTTAAAATCAATGAAACGTGTGTCGTCTGAATGTGAATCGTTTGACTTTAATCACATGTGTTTCCATCTCGCTCTGACGAGTCCGTTTCTCGCTCTGACGAGTCTGTTTCTCGCTCTTCTTTCATAACAGATGCTTCGGGTCCAGTGCGACTCAATCACGACGCGCTGATTGAAATGTGAATATGTGAGAGAGACGGCCTCCCGCGGCGCTCATACCCACACAGAGGTATTCAAAAGCCTGTGCCGACTGTTCGCTGGTACTGCCCCCCCATGCCCCCCCAGGACCCCCCCCAGTGAATCCTCCTGCGGCTGACCCGGTGTGGCTTCCTCCTGCAGAGTAGACGATGTAAACAACACGGTGAAATGTCACGGATGCTTGGGGTCCCACAGGGCTGCGTCCTAGATCCACTCTAGCTCTCTGCTGTTGACATTTACTTCAATTCAATTCATTTTAATCATGTATAGGCCTAAATCACAGCAGTCAGTATCTCGGAGGACTTTACAAAGCTGTCAATTTGCCAACACAGATCAGAAAATCAAATAAAAACACATTGGTCCAAAAGAGGCAGATGGTCAATGTCCAGAGATTTTAATTATCTCTCCGTCATCTCTGGTCCTGAGCTTTGGGCGACGGTAAAAGGACAAGATTGTGGATATAAGCTAAAGTGGCTGGCTGCTCCCTTAGAGATAGAGGAGCTTAATCATACAGGGGGAGCTTGGAGTAGAGACGCTGCTCCTCCACATAAAGCGGAACTAGTCAGGTGGCTCTGGGGTCTGTTTGGGAGGACGCCTCTGGGCCTGTCCCACTGGGAGGAGACCAGGAGAAGAGGGACTTAGTGTCTCTGAGCTGGGAACGCCTCAGGACTCCCCCAGATGAGCTGGAGGAGGTGTATGTGGAGAGGGAAGTCTCGACGTCTCTGCTCAGACTGCTGCCCCCACGACCTGGCAAGGGGTGAAGCGGAAGAAAATTGATGGATGTTAAAGCACTGCACAGCTGCAGGAGTCATGACGTCAAGGACTAAAACAAAAAACAGAAGAGATTAGTTATTAGTCCCACAGTGGGGAAATGTCAGTGTTGCGATCACAAGTTACAGAACAGTAAGAATGAGGAGCACACAGCACAAGATAAATTAAAAATAACTATAATATAATTAAAATGAAAACAAAATCTCTAACATCAAAAAGTATAAAATCTCTCTCTTTAACAGGTCTCTACAGTAGACTCATGAGTGTAAATAATGGACACTTTTTTACTGTATGCTTGAAATGAACTAAAACTAACTAAATAGGTTAAATTAATAATAATAATAATAATGCATTGGTTTGATACATGTCATTATTCTTTCTCTCCAAACACGTTGGTGATAAACTACTGTAGCCAGAGCTGCCCTGGGACACACTGACAGAAGCGAGGCAACCAGTCTGTGCCATCGGCCTAAGGACACAACAGCAGTTTGGCACTTCACAGCCGCAGCCGCCCCCACTGTGGCACCTGCTGTTCCCAGAGGTTAAGTGTCTTGCCCAAGGACACAATAACAGCAGACATCAGTGGGAGTCGATGGAGACAGTCTTGTGGTGGGCTCGAACCCATGACCTTCAGGCTCAAAGGACAATGCTCTACCAACTGAGCCACTGTCGCCCCATATTTCTCCTGTCATTTTGCGCTCTCTGCAAAAGCCACATGTAAGATTTCGATCTAAATCTATGACAGCAGCACAGAAGCCGAGTATACAAATAAACCTTGTCCTCCACACACATTTTGACACACATAATTTAAAACTCAAATACAAACCCAGGAGTCGTCCAAAAGTCTGCTGAAATATTTGTCATTTCACTCTCTTTCTTCTTCTTCTTCTTCTTTGCCTAAAAAGTGAGGATTTCCGAGTAATCATGTGTGTGAAAGCAGCCGGTGTGTGCGGTGCATACAGAGTGGTCTGAACAGCCCTGAGTTTACAGCAGGAGAAAACAACATGAAATAACAACAATAACCTCCCCCCAGCTCAGGGACCTTCAATCTTTACCGTTTTAAAAAGTCTCTGTTGTATCTGTATTAACTCAGGCGTGAAGCAGACATGGAGCAGGCATTTTGGCACATGTCGAGTTAGCTTCATGTCTGCGTCCAGGAAGTGTGTGTCCAGGTCACAAATGTATCAGAGTAAGAAGCAGAGATAGAAGAGAGAGAGGTGAGGGAGGTGAGAGAAGATAGAGCGGAGAGAAGAGAGAATAGAGAGATGAGAGAGAGAGGAGAGAGGAGAGAGAGGGGAGAGAGAGGAGAGGAGAGAGAGAGGGGAGAGAGTAGAGAGAGGAGAGAGAGAGGAGAGAGAGGAAAGAGAGGAGAGAGAGGAGAGAGAGGAGAGAGAGGAGAGAGAGTAGAGAGATGAGAGAGAGAGAGGAGAGAGTAGAGAGAGAGAGGAGAGGAGAGAGCTGCAGGAGGCCAGTCCCTGTGCTCCCCAGAGTCCCAGCATGAGGCTCAGTCCCTGTGCTCCTCAGAGTCCCAGCAGGAGGCCACTCCCTGTGCTCCCCAGAGTCCCAGCAGGAGGCCAATCCCTGTGCTCCTCATAGTCCCAGCAGGAGGCCAGTCCCTGTGCTCCTCAGAGTCCCAGCAGGAGGCCAGTCCCTGTGCTCCTCAGAGTCCCAGCATGAGGCTCAGTCCCTCTGCTCCTCAGAGTCCCAGCAGGAGGCCAGTCCCTGTGCTCCTCAGAGTCCCAGAAGGAGGCCAATCCCTGTGCTCCTCATAGTCCCAGCAGGAGGCCAGTCCCTGTGCTCCTCAGAGTCCCAGCAGGAGGCCAGTCCCTGTGCTCCTCAGAGTCCCAGCAGGAGGCCAGTCCCTGTGCTCCTCAGAGTCCCAGCAGGAGGCCAGTCCCTGTGCTCTTCAGAGTCCCAGCATGAGGCTCAGTCCCTGTGCTCCTCAGAGTCCAATGCAGAGACCTGAGACCAACATTATATCTTAGTTGATGATCTGAGTGATGGATCCGTCCCTTTGCTCAGTATGGACCATATTTTCCTTGTGCTTAAATAAAGTGACAGTTTTCTCATCCAAAAGTCTCGCTCCTCTGTCCCTGGAGTCTCCGTCTTCATTTATTCCTCAGCTTTAAATTCTCGAAAGCACTTCTTCTGCCAAGTTTCCTCCACATCAGCGTTTTGCATTATCTCCGACACTTAGCGTTATTAGCAACTCTCTATTTTACTTTAATCATGGTTCAAATGGACTGGACCTTATTACAGGAAGTGTTGAGCTCAGCACTCAGGGCCCGCTCTGCTCTCCACAGACTATCTCTCTCTGGTCTCTCTATGGTCTCTCTCTGGTCTCTCTCTGGTTTCCCTCTGGTCTCTCTCTGGTCTCTCTCTCTCTGGTCTCTCTCTGGACTCTCTCTGGTCTCTCTCTGGTCTCTCTCTGGTCTCTCTCTTTGGACTCTCTCTGGTCTCTCTATGGTTTCCTTTTGGTCTCTTTCTGGTCTCCCTCTGGTCTCTCTCTCTGGTCTCTCTCTGGTCTCTCTCTCTCTGGTCTCTCTCTGGACTCTCTCTGGTCTCTCTCTGGTCTCTCTCTGCTTTCTCTGGTCTCTCTCTGGTTTCTCTCTCTGGTCTCTCTCTGGTCTCTCGCTGGTCTCTCTCTGGTCTCTCTCTGGTCTCCCTCTGGTCTCTCTCTCTGGTTTCTCTCTCTGGTCTCTCTCTGGTGTCTCGCTGGTCTCTCGCTGGTCTCTCTCTGGTCTCTCTCTGGTGTCTCTCTCTCTGGTCTCTCTCTGGACTCTCTCTGGTCTCTCTCTGGTCTCTCTCTGCTTTCTCTCTGGTTTCTCTCTCTGGTCTCTCTGGTCTCTCGCTGGTCTCTCGCTGGTCTCTCTCTGGTCTCTCTCTGGTCTCCCTCTGGTCTCTCTCTCTGGTTTCTCTCTCTGGTCTCTCTCTGGTGTCTCGCTGGTGTCTCGCTGGTCTCTCTCTGGTCTCTCTCTGGTCTCTCTCTGGTCTCTCTCTGGTCTCTCTCTGGTCTCTCTCTGGTAAGTAAGTAATAAATTGGACTTGAAGTGTGTGTTTTTAAAGTGCCGTTCTCCTGCAGCCTTCTTCCGTCTCCGTCAGGTCCAACAATCAAACCCGCTCACATGGTCCCGGCCTCGTCCTGGAAGCTTCCCCCGGCTCCATTACACTTATTAATCGCCGTGGTTTTTACAAATGAACCCCCGCCCGGCCGCTACAGCTACCGCTCTTTGCTAATTCCCGATGACAAAGTGTTTCTCGCCGTGCTTCTAAACGCCGCGCCCGCCGCCGCCGCCGAGTGCATCATCGCCGCGTGTCAAGGAACAAACAAATAAGATGAAGTGCTTTCTCAAAGTCAGAGTAAAGGACACGATCGCGGCTCCAACAAAACGGTGATGGATGAGAACAACACCAGGCGCGGCCGGCGTTCAATTAGCAGACGGAGGAACGGCGCTCGCACACGGCGGCTGCGGCGGCTACGGCTTAAAGAACGGAACATTCAGAACGCATTCGTCTCACGGCGCTGACAGACTCATTCCCTTTCTACAAATTGGTCACGAATGTATGATTTTTCACTAAAAGTCCAGGGTCTGACGAGCCGTGTTCCAACGCTCTATGGTCTCTGTCTGGTCTCACTCTGCTCTCTCTCTGGTCTCTCTCTGGTCTCTCTCTGGTCTCACTCTGGTCTCTCTCTGGTCTCTCTCTGCTCTCTCTCTGGTCTCTCTCTGGTCTCTCTCTGGTCTCACTCTGGTCTCTCTCTGGTCTTTCTCTGGTCTCTCTCTGGTCTCACTCTGGTCTCTCTCTGGTCTCACTCTGGTCTCACTCTGGTCTCTCTCTGGTCTCTCTCTGGTCTCTCTCTGGTCTCTCTCTGGCCTTTCTCTGGTCTCTCTCTGGTCTCTCTCTTGTCTCTCTCTGGTCCCAATCGGGACAGGGTTTTTCTGAGTGGAGTTTGCATGTTCTCCCAGTGTCTGCGTAGCTTCTGACCAAGCGACCACTGCTCCTGACAGAAGTCTTAGTGGCATCAGAATGGGTCAAATGCAGTGGACAAATTTCCATGCATGCTGTAGACCCAGGACTGAGGCTGTAGACCCAGGACTGAGGCTGTAGACCCAGGACTGAGGCTGTAGACCCAGGACTGAGGCTGTAGACCCAGGACTGAGGCTGTAGACCCAGGACTTAGGCTGTAGACCCAGGACTGAGGCTGTAGACCCAGGACTTAGGCTGTAGACCCAGGACTGAGGCTGTAGACCCAGGACTGAGACTGTAGACCCAGGACTGAGACTGTAGATCCAGGACTGAGGCTGTAGACCCAGGACTGAGGCTGTAGACCCAGGACTGAGGCTGTAGACCCAGGACTGAGGCTGTAGATTATGTAGTTGTAGTTGTAGGCTGTAGTTAATGTTTTATAGATTGCTTTTGACATACAGTACTTATTTCCATGTAATAAGGAGATTCATTCTCTCTAGGGACTGTTTTTGACATAGTTTGAGACAGAACCCGACACATCTGATTTCCTTGTTGTGCGCACTCACCTTCCAATTGCAAGTTTAGTCACTTCTGAATGTGTTTTGTACGTCCACCTGATCCATTTCTCTAATGTTCCGTGTGTTCGCTGTTGACCGTAGCATTCAACAGGAGAAACAGTAGGACACGCCGGTTACGGTGTTAAAAATATTAACTTTTTAAATAACTTGTTGTCAATCAACGGACATTATTATTAATAAATACATATATGCATATCATTATGTATAAAAAACATTAAAAATAATAATAATGATTTAAAAAAATTAAATTAAAAACATAAAAAGAAGCCCAAGCCCTGCACGGCCCGACTGCTGAAATGAGGTCCGAGCCCGGCCCGAGCTTGGGGTCGGGCTGAAAAGCGAAACTCTAAACCTGTTTACTCCAGTGCACAGACACATGCAGTTTACAGGTGACACACACATGGTCCCAGCCTGGTGACGCACACATGGTCCCAGCCTGGTGACACACACACGGTCCCAGTCTGGTGACACACACACGGTCCCAACCTGGTGACACACACACGGTCCCAGCCTGGTGACACACACACGGTCCCAGTCTGGTGACACACACACGGTCCCAACCTGGTGACACACACACGGTCCCAGCCTGGTGACACACACATGGTCCCTTGATACAGTTGATTACAGACATTTTAAATACCTATATCTATTAATGAATACTTTCTAAAACTGTCCTTTTGATTTTCTAGGACCTATTCTTTATTTTAAGGTGGAACTGGAACAATCAGAGACTTCAAAGCACTTCTTTACTTCTGTCCATGCTTTTTCCTTTAATAATCCATTTTATCGGGACACAAACGTTTATCTTCTCAATTACACACATCCACTTCAAAACTTCAAGTCCAAGTTGTCGAAGCTTTACCACTGTTTAAAGCTCAGATTGTAAATACCTTCTGCACCGACTTGAACCCTACTGTAACGCCGTGCTGTTTTCTGTCACCACAGAATCACGGCAAACATTTGTATTTAGCGATGTCGAAGCTGTAAGTCTGAGTGGCAGCGGCAGAATCATATTTAAATACATTCAGAGTCGCTCGCAGCCCACGGATCACAGCTGTCAGGGAGTATTGAGGCCACACTCCTGCCGCTCCCAGGCCTTTCCCGCGACTTCACAACACAAAATATGGTCTATTTTCCGAGCGTGTGTGTTGATAAGTGTTGGGCTCTCTCTGACAGTGTGTGCCGAGGCCTGGAGCAGCTACAAGGAGAAGGCGGAGCCGGCTTTAATCAAAACGCCGGGGCACCTCCTGGCCCCGATCCCAGAGGGTCCTCGGAGGAGCAGGAGTCTGGGAAGAAGGCGGGAATGACCTCGGATAGAAACTAGCTCAACCCCCGACCGCCGCGGAGCCCAGGGCCATGACGCAGCAGGCGGCCGTGACCACAGAAACTTCAAGGACGAGAGAAAAGTGGGAGAAAAGTGGGAGAAAAGTGAGATGCGAGAACGAGAGACGCTGCCGGAGGTTTGAGGCGGGTGAAGGAGGAGGCGTAAACCGTACAGTTACTTTAAATTCTGTGTTTGTGTGCAGCTCGGAATCCCAACAGCAGCGGCCTCAGAGGACTTTACAAGGTCGTGGATTCACCGACGACAGAGCCCAGAATTAAACACAATAATAACAAACGCATACACTGCAAAAGATGAAGAGAGCAGGGCAGGAAGTCTAAAACTACAGAGAATTTAAGTCAAGATAATTAAATAACACACAATCCACAGCGTGACAGTGTAGAGGGAAATGTTTATGTGAATGTGCTCAGTCCAAAGTACAATATCGTTAAGACACTTTAATCAGCTATTTTGTGTTGAAATGTAATTAAAGAAGAACCAGAACCAACCAAGAGTCAAAACGTTTGGTAAATATATCTTAATCTGAGCACATTCAGACATTACAGGCGACAGTGGCTCAGTTGTAGAGCATTGGCCTTTGAGCCTGAAGGTTGTGGGTTCGAGTCCACCACGGGACCTTCTCCACCGACTCTCACTGATGTGTGCCGTCGTTGTGTCCTTGGGCAAGACACTTAACCTGTGGGAACAGCAGGTGCCACAGTGGATAATGAATAAATAATGAATGTGAGGTTCTTTGAGTGTCCAGAAAAAGCACTGTATAAAACCAATGCATTATTATTAAAACCAGATTTTCCAATGGGACAAAGCCAATTACATTTGTTTTAAAAAGATAAAGAAAAGTCTCCCTTGGAATGAGACAGTTCTTTGATTAAAACGAAATGGTTTTGTCCCATTGGAGAAAATTGTTTGAACACAGTCAGAATGAACTCAGATTAAGATAAAAACCACTCGATTTAAGCCATTATGACCTTATATTATCACTTTTTGCAGTGTCTCTCTCCATGGTGCTGATTCTGATTCTGCTTTTATCCAGATAATCAGTGGCTCCAACAACATCCACAACCTGCTACACACTTATAAATAAAGTCAAAGGTTATTAACGAACAATAAAAATGTCCCAATATCATGTGTTTTTCTGTCATGTCCATCTCTAAGTACATAAAGATCAGTGTCTAACATAAAGCGGCTCAGATTTGGTTCCACTTGGGAAAAATAGAATCAACAAAACGATTCTGTTTTTGCTCAGCTTCTCGGAAACCCAGCGTGGACCCGGAGCGACAGCCTTTACCTGCGACACGTCCATTATCACCAGAACTGTGGCCGTTTCATCTTCCGGGAAACATGTAAACGTGTTTTGTCCATTGTCCTGCAGCTGCTGAGGCTGAGGCTGTGGACAGAAGCAACAACAACTCACTTCAACGTCTTTTTGTAGAGCCTTGAAATCACAGCAGCAGTTTTCGACGAGCACTTGGATCATCACAGTCTCAGTGTTTCAATCTGGAGACACTTCAAACACAACAATGCGTTCAAATAATTTACTTAATTAATTGTTTGGCTGCGGCACTTTGTCTGAAGAGCAATCATGGTGTGCCGCTTATAATCTCCCGGGACATAGGTACTGGTGGCAGAAGTCCTAGATGTTGGAAGTTTCCGCATTTAAACCGCTGCTGTAATGGTGAAAGTGAGCGCCACTGTGTGATTGGCCGAGGGAGAAAGGGGCCGGCTTGGATGGGCTGCAGCAGGGACACCCCGAGACTGACTCTCCACAGGCTGCATCAATACAATAACTCTAGTTAATTCCACTGTTCATGTGCGTTCAAAGCAGTGGTGGAGGAAGGGGATGTCCAAATGACGTGCGCTGACATGCTGCAATACCACCCCGGGCCAGTGGGGGCGAACCCAGAATTTCGTCTCAGAAACGTCTTTACAGGATGCTCCAAAAGTGGCTCTTGGTCCAAGGGGAGAGTATTTTTATGGACCAGTCTGGTTTAGTTGCTGTGGACTTCAGAATCCACTCCGAATGATGATTTTCCAGCCCCCGCGGCCATTTTGAAACTGCCCTTAGACGGTGAAAGTGATGTCACATTAGTTTGAACGGCGGAGATCGGAGTGACTACGTCTGAGTCTGTGGTTCAAAGGTCAGTTCAACACCTGTGCATGTTATCCCCATGTCTGCATAGGTTTCCTCCAGGTGCTCCAGTCCTGTATGGCTCTCACACTTCTATCTCTGTGTGGAACGAAAGACAAACGCCCACAACAATCGTTTAGTGTGGCTCTGGTCTGTGAAAAGCGCTGCATAAATAAACATGTCTCACTGACTCTCTGGAACGACTCTAATGTGAGAATATTTAACCTTTTGTTTATTGTGTTTAATCTAAAGGTCGTGTTTGTGTTTGAATAAAACAGAGACAAAGATCTTTAGTGCCGTCAATGACACTACGGCCCTTTAATGTTGTTTATGCTGTTGTTTTACGGAGGTTCTGTGGTTGTTTCCCGCTGAAGACCAGGCCCTGAACACCACACGGTGTAAAAACATACAAGAGAGATTTATCCTTTCTCCAAACACACTTTATAAATATCAGAAAAACAGCTGTTTTTGACCTGGATTTGAACATTGTCAGAGAACAAGCCGAACAAGAAGATTGTTTGGATTGTAGATGAATGAATCTGAAAGGCTGCCTCTTCATGGGTAGTCCTGACTCTGGGACCAGCAGGAGGCCAGTCCCTGTGCTCCTCAAAGTCCACAGCGGGAGGCCAGTCCCTGTGCTCCTCAGAGTCCACAGCAGGAGGCCAGTCCCTGTGCTCCTCAGAGTCCACAGCAGGAGGCCAGTCCCTGTGCTCCTCAGAGTCCCAGCAAGAGGCCAGTCCCTGTGCTCCTCATAGTCCCAGCAAGAGGCCAGTCCCTGTGCTCCTCAGAGTCCCAGCAGGAGGCCAGTCCCTGTGCTCCTCAGAGTCCCAGGGTGCAGAGACCAGAGAGCAGGACTAATATGATGGTTCTTCCTGGTTCTCGTCTGAGCCTTTTGAATAATGACAAATACAGAAAACGCAGCACAACAACACACAGTAATCTGACATTTACGACACACAGGGACCTCACACAAATCCATCAGTAATAATTGAGGCGAAGTGGACGGTGCAGAGTGAGATCTGAGACACGGACAGAGCTGTGGTCAGGACCCATCTCTCTTTGATAAACCTGATCTCAGTCCGACAGATCTGCGGCTTCTCTTTCTCAAATATTGATCCGACCTCAGCTCAGAGTTTGTTTCCACGGTTTGTGTTTTGGTGAAATCTGTCTGAGATCCAAGTCCACCTCTGGATTATGGAGTGTTCTCTTTGCATCAGGGAGAGGCCATGTTACATATGTCTAAGTGGGCTAAGTGCTAAGCATCATGGGAACTCCTTCAAGACTGTTGGAGACCCTTTCAGGTCCTGTTGAAGCTCATCCAGAGAATGCCGAGTGAAGCAGTATCAGAGCAAAAGGTGCTACTTTGAAGAACCAGAAAATAACACATGGTATCACTTGGTTCATACTTTTTTACTACGAACATAATTTCACATGAGGCCTTTCATAGGTTTGAGGCCTTCAGTGTCAATCTACTGTTTTCATAATCATCAAAATAAAAAACTCTTTGAAAGAGAAGGTGTCCAAACTTTTGCTCTGTACTGTTAGTGAAATATATGATACTGTGAGAGATATTGACTTTGCTTCATAATATTCGTTCAAAAGTGTGTAACTCTAACCCTCCCGAAGAGAAAAGGAGTGTTTTGAAAAACCTTACTGAAATGTTTTTTTGGGGTTACCGAAAGAAAAAGGAATTATAGGGATTAAGACTTATTTTTCATAATCGTAAAATCTTAATTATCTTAACATTTAGAGTCTCCACAATCTCATCTTTTACTCCCACTGCTCTGCTCGGCTTTAAACATTTTAGTAATGAAGACAAAACACTGGGATTTGTCATTTCTACAATGTATTTTAGAGAGAGACCAGAGAGAGAGAGAGATAGAGAGAGCAGAGAGAGAGAGAGAGAGAAAGGGAGAGATTGAGAGAGAGAGAGAGACAGAGTAGAGAGAGACCAGAGAGAGAGTAAGAGAGAGACCAGAGAGAGAGAAAGGGAGGGATTGAGAGAGAGAGACACCAGAGAGACCAGAGAGAGAGACCAGAGAGAGACCAGAGAGAGACCAGAGAGAGACACAGAAAGAGACCAGAGAGAGACACAGAAAGAGACCAGAGAGAGACAGAGAGAGACCAGAGAGAGAGAGACCAGAGAGCAAGACAGAAATAGAGACAGAGAGAGGGAGAGAGAAAAAGATAAACTAGAGAGTGGAAGATAGAGGGACCAGAAAGAGAGACCAGAAAGAGAGACCATAGAGAGGGAGAGACAAAGAAAGAGACAGGCAGAGAGAGCCCAGAGAGAGAGAGACCAGATAGATTGACAGAGAGAAAGCGAGAGCAACAGAGAGACCAGAGAAAGATAAGAGAGACAGAAAGAGAAACCAGAAAACAGTGTGATGCCATTTCCACAATATTCATTTTTTCCGTCTCCAGTTTAGATAGATTCCAGGACTCCAGCTGTTCTTTGAGCCTTTGCACAAATAAAGAAACAGCGTATTATTTATTTTGAGCCTGGTCTCTCTCTCCGTCGTTACGAGAGGCCGTCTTCCCACGCTCTCCATTGAAACACATTTAAACCATCCATAACTTTTCTTCTCAGGACCAGCTTCTGTTTGCTTCTCCACCAGCTTCACCTTCTCCCATCTGGTCCTCATCATTCTCCCCCCGACTCCTTCCCCCAGACACCTCCCCCTGACACCTCCTCCTGGTCTCCGGGCTTTAATGGATACGTGTGCATAGAGCAGGATTAGCCCAGCTCTGTGAGGCTTACCACGCTGCCGAGAATTAGACCAATTGTGAATGTGTTTTGGAAAGAAAGGACACATTTTACATCAAAGCTCCTGGAAATTGGGCCCATGCTTCGAGCTGTCGTCGGGCCCCGAGAGGATAAAAGTTTTAGAAATGTACTTTGACATCTAAAAAGCACATACGGAGAAATAGATGTAGTTCAAGATTGTCCCCAATTATAAAAGACTGGATTGGAGAAACAGGCCGCTACATTTGAGTCTATTTTAATTTACAATTATTATTATACGGGCAGATACAACTTCCATTTTAGTTTAAGATCCTCCGCGAGACTGGAGGACTTGGTGGTCCTCACAGAGACTAGAGGACCGGGGGGTCCTCACGGAGACTAAAGGACCGGGTGGTCCTCACGGAGACAAGAGGACTGGGTGGTCCTCACAGACACTAGAGGACTGGGTGGTCCTCACAGAGACTAGAGGACTGGGTCGGCCTAAGTTGGTTTAGGTCTTACCTTGAAGACAGGAAGTACTTTGTGGAGATTGGAAACTGTGTCTCAGATCATATGGCCCTGACCTGTGGAGTACCACAGGGGTCGATCCTGGGACCTCTTCTGTTCAATCTCTACATGCTGCCGTTAGGTCAGTTAATACGCAGAAACAAAGTTTCCTATCATAACTATGTAGACGACACTCAGATCTATGTCTCACTGACTGCAGGAGGACATGGACCAGTGGACTCACTCCTTCACTGTATCCAACAGATCAGTGAGTGGATGCAAAACAACTTCCTTCAGCTAAACGCAGACAAAACTGAAATGATTGTCTTTGGTCCCCAGAAGCAAAGAGAGAGCGTCATCTGTCACCTCCAGTCTCTCTCCCTAAAACCTTCAAACAAGGTCAGAAATCTAGGGGTAATACTGGACTCAGACTTAAATTTTAATAGCCACATCAAATCAGTAACATCAGCAGCTTTTTACCATCTAAAAAACATTGCCAGGATCAAAAACATAGTGTCTAAAGCAGACCTGGAGATTCTTATCCATGCATTTGTCTCCAGTAGGTTAGACTACTCCAATGGCCTGCTCACAGGTCTGTCCAAACAGGCTGTAAAACAGCTGCAGTACATTCAAAACATCGCAGCTCTCGTCCCTGTGATCCCTCTCTTCTCGTCCCTGTGATCCCTGTGCTCTCGCCCCAGTGATTCCTCTCTTCTCGTCCCTGTGATCCCTGTGCTCTCGTCCCTGATGGCCTTCAGACAGACTGCTATAATTTGGGCCGTGTGCAAAAGGTCAAACCGGAAACTGTTCCTCTGTCAGCACCGAGACTCATTACCCGCTGCACTGCGAGCCTTTACCACTGACACACACACACACACACACACAGGTGAATGTGCGCTGGGAAACTTTGATGGCATCTCTAACAATTCTACCTTATAAGATAAGGTAGAATTGTTAGAGCTGCCCCTTCCCTGTTACTGACCACAGTATATGACTTTATAATAATGCATCGGTTTCATACAGCACTTTCAAAGAAGCTTCACAGGTCCTTATTCATTCAGTACACGGTGCCACAGCTGCCCTGGGGCACACTGACAACAACGAGGCAACCAGTCGCCACCATCAGCCCCTCCCAACACCACCAACCATTCACACACACACCAGACTCCTTCTAATGTGGGGGAAGTGTCTTGCCTAAAGACTCAACCACAATTTGGCACTTTACAGCCGCAGCTGCCCAACTGTGGCACCTGCTGTTCCCAGAGGTCTCCCATCACAGCACTAACCAGGCCCTGACCTGCTTGGCTTCGGGCTGACGGGATCTGGCTGTCTGTAGCTGGATGTGATGGAGGAGAACCATCAACCTCAGAGTTTATGGCTAGTGTATAAACTGTCCTATACAAAAAAAACTTGCCTGAATGTAAAGAGTGACCCCATGTTTACCAGGCGGTCCCTCCCCCCTCCCTCACCCACCCTCCCCCTCCCTCCCCTGGGTGTCAGGCTAATGGTGCGTTGTCAGGAGTAAATCTCAGGGCTGCTTCCTGACGTCCAGACTCTCTCAGAGACGAATGGTTGGTCTGACTCAGCCTCTCCGCTCGCACGGGCTCATTACCCTCGCGCATGCTAGCTAGCCTCCGCCGTGCGCTGCCTGCCTTGAAACAATTAGCATACCACAACAACGAGCTTCATCATCATTTCTCGATAACCGTGCAATCACAAATCAAAGCCGAGTGAAAGAAGAAAGGGAGCGGATTGCATCTTATGTAGAGGGGGAGTCAACACGGGGGAGACTCCAGGGTGAGTAAACACAGGGGAGGAGGGGGGGGTAAGAAAGAAGATGCTGTAGGTTTAACGGGCCCCTGTTACGCAGACGGACACAGATTCCCATTTTTAGTCGATGTCACCAGCAGTTCAGAGGAGACCCAGAACACATGGACCACATTCGTAACCATAGAATTGTTGAAGTTTTTTTGGCTTTTAGTTTCTATCCTGAAATAGCCAACTTCTATTCATTTATGTTTATATATATCTTTTTAACAGAGAAAGATAAATTATCACATTATGGACTAGGACGGGGCGCAGGTCACTACAAATACAGAAGTTGGATCAAGGAGGCCGTTGAAATCAAAGAGCGGGGCAACGAGAGCATCAACCGGGTCGAGGGAGCCCTCCTCCAGAGACCATCTGAGCCAGAGGGGGCGTGGTCAGTCTGAGTGACCTGCCAATCAGGCTGACCACGCCCACTCAGGAAGTAACATCAGCTGATAAATGACACCTAACCATCTGTCCGTGAACACTTCTGTCATGGTGTGGACTTCCTGTTTATTTATCTGGTTTTATTTTGATATTATTGTAAAATTATATCAAAATATATTGTTGATTGTTTTCCCTGCCCTGATGTGCTGCACCTGTAAGTAAGTAAGTAAGTAAGTTTTTATTTATATACCGCCTTTTCACTGCAGATCTGAGTCTCAAAGCGGTTTACAATTGTTAATTTTGGGCATTTGTCTCTCACTCCACACAGAGATGGGAGGGGCCAGTACAGGAGGCACATGCCAGACCTATTGTACATATTTTTAGTGGTAGGGGAAACCGGAGTACCCGGAGGAAACCTACGCAGACACGGGGAGAACATGCAAACTCCACTCAGAAAGGCCCTGGTCCGACCGGGATTCGAACCCAGGACCTTCTTGCTGAGAGGCGAGAGTGCTATCCACTCAGCCACCGTGCCGACACCTGTGTGTCCCTGTGTGTATTTAGACCCTGTGGGTATTTAGACCCTGTGGGTATTTAGACCCTGTGGGTATTTAGACCCTGTGTGTATTTAGACCCTGTGTGTCCCTGTGTGTATTTAGACCCTGTGTGTATTTAGACCCTGTGTGTTTTGTTGTATAATTAAAATGTTGTATATTTTAATATTTGACCATTTGGACATCATAGCCAAAAAAAGACCTCTGTGCACTCAGGAAAAACCCCAAGGACACAAGATAGTATACAAACTAGACAATTATTGACTCCAAGTATAAGCAGGGCTCTCTCTCTCTCACTTTGGGCGAGAGCAAAGTCCAACACAATCAGGCGCCGCAGGGGTGGGGGCATTGTTTGCTCAGGTGGAGATGGAAGACCAAGACCGGGTCCAGACCAGGACCAGGGGCCAGACCAGTCCCAGACCTGTGACGTCATCGGACCCTGGGCCCAAGACCTCCCTGATACGACACGCCCCCTGCTCCCTGAACATCGACTAATAAGGCTCTGGCTTGGGCAGAAACAGAAGAATCAGCAGAGGGCCAGAGAGAGGGACATGCATAGTTTTAGGAGCCCTCTTTGTTGGAATTTCTGTATCTGATTGTAAAGATAAATTAAATACAGATGTTAAAACTTGGAGATCTGTTGTCATGCCTCTGCATCAACTCGAACACGTCAGTCAAGGGAATTATTGACTTCATTTGGAGACCCCCGACGTGATGGTGCAGGGGCAAGACAGAGATGAGCTCAGATATAGACTGGGTCCATCGGCCGGGAGAATTCTCTCTTCTCTTCTCCCTTCTCTTCGAAAGAGGTAAGCGGATCGTTACTTTTGAAAATCTGCACATTGTTTTAAATGGAAGAGAGAGAGAGAATTCGGCTCGGCGGACTGCAGCGTGGCCAGACGACCGCCGTGACGGGCGATTCTATCGGACGCGATAGAACAATAGTCAGGTTTTTCGACGTTTTTGAACCTTGAGGGAAGCATTGGTCCCCTCAAAAAAAGAATATACAGGAAAGCCACAGGGTTTATAAGTGCAAAAGAGGCACAAGTGTTTAGATAAATAGGATTAGAAAATAGGGACAGTTAGGGTCAGAAGTTATAGGATAATAAAAACTCCATATCCCCCGGGGGGCGGGGAAAAGGGTACAATTAATTTAAACAGAAAAAAGCCAAGTATTTAAAATGTGGATTCTGATACTAACGATCTGATTAATGAGGAAAAAAGAGAGCCACTTGGCTGTAGTATACGAGTTTCATGTGAAGAAATGACAAAAGATCAGTCTGGGAGTTTTTCTCTTGTATTGTGATGTAATGTTTCAATAGTTACAGAGAATCAGGAAAAAAAAAGATTCTGCTGGAACCCTCAATACATTAATCAGGTAGCAAATGGTAATGTTTTCCATTACTGACGTATTTAAGGATAAAATGTAAAGTGTCGTTTGACGTGATAAAAACTTTTACCACTGATTTAAAACCTTGTCACGAGAAAAACGAGGAAAGTATTTCAGACTCCATGCTTCCTTTGTTCGGGAGGCCCCTCCCCTCCCTCGTTCTGTCCTCTCTCTCTCCCCTTCCTCTCTCTCTCTCTCTCTCTCTCTCTCTCTCTCTCTCTCTCTCTCTGTCTTTCTCTCTCTCGTGAAGAAAGAATTTTTTGTAGAAAATTACATTTATACACACGATAATGTTACTGTCATGGAGTCACAGGATCACAGAACTTTGAGTTAGATTATAAAGAGGCATTATTTTATTTTTTATTTTTTATCTGGACAAGTTTTTTTTCCCTACATTTTGGTGATATAAAAGTTAGAATGATCTTAGAGAGCATTATACTTTTGGAAAAATAGGGCTCAGGAGAGCAGTTGAATGCAGAATTCGGTTTTCAGAATCTAATGTTTAAAATGTTAATATTAATTATTCCATAGGTTTATTTTGAATTGTAATTAATCATTGGTTTGGTATGGTAATTAACACACTTGTTTGTGTTTCTTGTTTGTCTGTTTTTTCCGAGAAAACTTCTGTCTGTTTCATTTGGCCAAAATCGTCTCTGCCACAAACCACCATCAGCGTCTCCCCCAGACCCACAGGGGGCAGCAAAGACAGCAGCATCGGCTGCAGCAGCTAACAGGAACTCTCGAAGAAGACTCCTCCAGCCCCATTTCTGACAGCATAGAAAAAGAAAAGACCGCAGATTTTTTCACAAACTGAGTGTCGACCCATCCACGAAACAGAAGGTGGCGGTAATGCGAAGAATAGGCCGCCAACCGCCGGAAAACCAAACAAGAAGAAGAAGGACACGACACATTTGGGTGCGTCAGATATGAAAGAAGAAGAAAGACATTATGAGGAAAAGTTATCGGAAGAAGAAAGAAAGTGATTGTTGAAAGAAGAAGAAAGACATTGTGAGAAAGAGTTATCGGAAGAAGAAAGAAAGTGATTGTTGAAAGAAGAAGAAAAAAGACATTGAGACAAAGACATTGGACACTTTGAGACAAAAGACATTGAAAGACGCCATGAGTAAAAGAAAGACATTAACGTACATTTGAGGAAGACGTGGCTGGCCTAAATGAGACAGACGGAAGGTAAATATACAGACAGGCAACAAACGCACAGAGACATATTAAGTCATATTTACACATTTAGCTAGGTCATTCGTTCATAACACCACATTTAGCTGCATGAAAGAATACAGGACAATCGTTAAAATTAATTAGACTCTTTAGCATGAGACACAAGGAGATTAGAACAGCAGTATATTTAAGGTAGAGGAGCTCTATTATTGAAACTAGTATTATTATTTAAAGTTATAGACGCGGAGAAGTTTAGAATTATTGATTTTGACTGCATGATCTTGGTAATACGGATATTTAAAGCAGTGTTTTCAACCTCTGAACCGTGGCTCGTTAATCATTTAAAAACAATCACATGCACAGTTGAAACTGGTGCTAGAAAGAGAAATGCAGCTTTTAATGTACGCTGCATTTAATACAAAATGGTTTGTTCAGACAATTAAAGTTTGAAAAATGATTTAAAGCATTTCTAAATTTTGGCTAAAGGTGATTTTGGATCATTTCTGATAACACATAGACGCAACACTGTTCATTGGTTGAAAACACGGATGTAGGGACATCTTATGAAATCTTTTATGACATGTTTCTCTTCCAAATAGCTAAATTAGAAACAATTAGGACAATTATGTCTTTGATAACTGTTGGCAGTTTATCTGAGACATGATTGGTGCAAGTACACACACATAAAACGATGGTCTTTTCTCCACATGAACGTGAAACAAAGGTGAAGTATTAAAGTTTGAGACTAATTTACATTTTTAAGGAATCCGAACTGGCTTTAAAAAAAAAAAGGGAAAAACATTTATTGCGCGTGCATGAGTTTTTTAAGTAACAAGAGCTCATTAAAAATATAGGGGACACAGTCTGTGAGAAGCCCGAGTACAGACCACGTGGTAAGCACTAAAAGTTTGAAATGGATCCTTTTAAGAAAAATCTCTCAAAGTTCTGCATGTTCTGCAGGCTCTGAAAGTTGCAACAAGGGAAATAGCTCATGAGACAATTGTAATTGGACATGGAAAAATATAACAAAGTTAAAATTACAGGCCTTCTGTGTTGTCTATATGTTTGTGTGTGCTATATGTTTGTGTGTGTTATATGTTTGTGTATGTTATATGTTTGTGTATGTTATATGTTTGTGCGTCATGTCAAGTACACTACGTTGACCTTAACAAACTCTGGACCAATATACTAACGTGGGGAGTCGGCCTGTGTGAGTGTGTTGTGAAATGAGGAGTGCTGAACGGAATCATGGAATAACAAAAGTTTTCTGTAATGTTTTAATGTGATCATGGAATAATTATTTTTTGTCAACAGC